ATGTTTTATATGTCCCGTAGGTACTTGAAAAGATGGGCTGGGTGTTGGAGGTAGCTAAGATGTTTCTCTACATATCGTTTCCCGTTGGGATATTTCACTATGTTAATCAGCCAGCCTACTTTGACAATGTGATAAAAGCGAAAGAGGAGTACTTCCCGCCCGAGAGTAGAAAGATGAACGAGCAAATGGAAAACTTTATTCGCGATTTTAATGCTGACGTTGAAAAGAAACGTCTGGACGCCTTGGAGAGCGGAAACAAGCAGTGAAGAAAATCTATTGTAATGTTTCCGACTGTGATACCGGTAGTGGAATTTACCATTTTTTTTGTAAATACGAGGATATCGAGGTATCTTTGGCACAGTCAGTAGTTAGAAATAAAAATATTGATAAAGATTGCTTTCAATCCTGATATGTTTCTATTGATGAGCTTTGAATTGGTAGGAAAATTAGTCTTCGAGCTCATTTTTCTTTTTTATTTCTTTAGTATTTTATTTTACGAAATTTATTATTTCTTTTGTAAGGTATCTTCACTGTAACATGCTTTTTTATTTTAAGATTATGTTTTTTAATTGTATTATGTAAGAGATTTTTTTTTATTATCCAAGAATGAATGTAATTGAGCAGAATATATTTTTATACCATGAAAAGTGTAGTCGCTTTTATGTTTTTTTTTCTGTTTTTGAGAAAATAACTATAGTACATGTCTTTGAAATTCTTTATAACGAATGTGTGTGTTTTACCACCAACAAGTAAATTTACGGTTCTTGTTACGACGTTTTAGGAGGACACGAGTAAGTCTAGGTGGCGTTTAACGCACACGGAGCAGAGAAAATAACGGCATGATGCCTTCCTCCAGTTCCTCCCTGCGACGAGGGTCACTATATGGCTAGTAACATCTGTGTAATTAACCCGCATGTCACTTCCAATGAGCGGAACGCTCCACTAATGTAAACAAAATGGTTTAAAACCATTTGAGGGTCCGACGAAAACACGCCCGTCGCCGTCCCACCAGGGTGCCGTTCATCCGTCACCATGTGGAAGTGCCACAAATGCGGGAAACCCGTTTACTTCGGTGAGTTGTCGCAATTTGCGACTCGCCGAGGCGGCGCCGTGCCTCGCTCCGACAAGTATCACTCTACTCGCGATTTGGAGCGATCGATGTGCCTCGTTACGGGACGTCGGTCGTGGGTGTCGTACAGGACGCTCGGTTACGCCTTTTATTGAATAAAGGGGAAATCGTATTCGTAAGGGAGTCCAAACGGTCGTCTATTGTCACTGCATTTGATTGTTTATAATATTTAAAATCGATATATTTGTAAGTATATTGTAAAAAAGAACAACGTGAAACCTGTGCTATCGTGTAATTTTTTATCTCAGAAAAGGAATTTAAATTTGGACATATGATTCGAACAAATATATCAACTTTTCAGCTGAACGCAAACAGTCTCTGGGGTATGACTGGCATCCGGAATGCTTACGGTGCGAGGAATGTGGGAAGCGATTGAATCCTGGGCAACATGCAGAGGTAATGCAAACCGATTGTTGTCCTTTTATGAACTGTGGATCACACGATAGATAATTCGTAATGCATGTTCTGTTACTATGCTGAAATCAGCATAAAGGCGTGCCTTATTGCCACGTTCCTTGTTATGGAGCTCTATTTGGACCTCAACTATTCGGCCATGGCACAAGAGTGGAATCACATACAAGCTTTGGAAAAAAAGAAAGTCGACCATCTTTGCCCAGGTAGATATACGCACAGAAATTTTTTTAATAATTTCATGGAAAATAAATTTGATTAAGATAGTATTTAATTTTGTAACTTTGTGTTTATTGCTTTAATACAGATCTAAGTAGAAAAATCTAATGATCTATGTTTAAAATAAATTTGTCTAATCGCATACAAAGATAAATGTTTTGTCATTCAGATAATTAACTATTTAAACAATTTCCTAAAGAAGAATGTCTTTTTAGATCGCATTTAGAATCCAAACTGAAAGTTTTTAATCAGTATTACGAAGGCAAAAGTGGAGGAATTCGAAGTCGTGAGGTAAAAAAGGCTTCTTGAAATATTTGGATTAAGTTCTTATAAAGAAATATCTATATAAACAAATAACGATCTGAAACAGGTTAACGGAAGATTGATACTAGAAGGGGCGTTGAGAATTTATTGGGGAGTCCGTGGTGTGATTCATCTGAAGGAAGATGACGATCAGCGCACAGTAGTTACTGCACGAAACAGAAATTCGTGCAGGCACAGTGTTTCTGAGGTTTGTCATTCTTATTTGCTTTAGAGTTTGATACACGTAATGATGTATCTATTTATTACATATTTAATTGTGCTAGGACGTCGAGGATGAAGATAAGGTAGATGAGCTGTCTAAGAGCACGTCAGACAGCAACACGGAGAACAATGCGAAGTCTGTTCCAACATCGCCCGATCACTTGAAAAGCCTCACTCTGCCTATGAAACTGGAAGTCAAAAATATGGAATGGGATGAGCTAGACGAGCTCCTACAGGTTTTATTTTTAATATTTATGTTTAGTTTATGAAACAGATATAAACTGGGAGGTATGCCCGTAGGTTGAACGAAAGGTCGAGGATGGTAACAAATTGTATCAGACGATGCCTGAGAATCTTCCGTCAATAAGTTCGCAATCTAGCGCGGATACGCCACCGCTCTCGTCTCAGTCGAGTCTCGATCGATCGGACTCCCGCGAGAACTCGGAAACGAGCAGTCCCAATCACCAGACTACTAGCCGAGACAACGATAGTAGTCTAAATAGCACGCCAACGCACAGCATAGGTAGTTCTTCCAGTACAGACACCCCTGTCTGTAATTTAGGAGCTTCTAATCGAAACGGTACGCTTCGAAGAGTAGAGTACTTCGACAATTTGGAGAAGAGTACCGGCAGTAAATCGATTAGCACCGACGACAGCTGGATCGAAAAGGGTTTGAATCGATCATTGTCCGGTCCTGACTGCCTTCAGAGACACAGAACTGATAGCGATACGGATTCGGTGAATTCTTTGCAATTCAGAGAAGACGACAATATGACTATGTCTACAGACAGCGGATTAGAGGTATTGCATCGCGACCATTTATTCCATCGGTTCTGTATCTTTGAGTGCACGTATCAATCTATTCTGGTGGTAGCTGGATGGTGTCGTTTTGCGTCGCAAACAAGGCTCCACTGCGATCAGACGACGTCCGGGCGGTAGACGACAATCGCGCAGTCGATTACGACGTCGTTGCTCGATCAACGGCCACTTTTACAATCGAGAGACCAGTTTCTTCACACCGCCTCACGGTTCGCAGATGTCCGTTTGGGTGACGAGTCTAGTGAACACGCAGGAAGTTATCAATCTTATGCTCGACAAGTACAAAGTCGATGCTAAGTCCGATAACTTTGCATTATTTGTAGTTCGCGACAATGGTGGTAAGAAAATTGTAATTCTTTAGGAAATTGAAATTTAGATTTATACGCGATTATATGTTCCTCCATCATATGCAATTTGTATTGTTTTCAAGAACAAAGAAGATTGAAGGATGATGAGTATCCTTTGGAAGTCCGAGTAGTCTTGGGTCCGCATGAGAACGTTGCACGGCTGTTTCTGGTCGATAAGTTGTCCACGCCTGAGATCAGCTCCGATGTCGCGCAGTTTCTCAATCTATCTCTAGCAGAATGCCATGGCATATTACAACGTTATCACTACGAAGAGGAACGTCAAATTCTCCTCTTAAAAGAGAAGTGAGTACATAAAAACAACTTGTGTCAATAAGAATCGCAATATTATATAAATTTGATGTTTCAGATACAAAGAGATGCGAAAAAGAATAAAGCAAAGAATGGAGGAGCTAAAAGTTCGGTTATAGGTAGAATGATGAATGAATGTCCGCGCATGGATATCCACGCAATTATTTTTATAAGCGCTTAAAACAATTTCTTTATAAAAAGAAATATTCATGTGGCAGGAATTTATAACTCATACTATACCGAATAAGTATGTATTGCAGTAGCATGACACAATTCACATGAAGCATTTTTGAAATATCGCACAATATGTGCCTGCATTTCAGTTTTGTTTGTAGCTTAACACTTCGTTATTACGTCCTCTTTCGTTTTGAATTTCTGTTGCATTTATCTATAATCGTTACATATGGAAATGCTATTAATTAAAGTATACTTTAATATGGACAAGGAGATCGAATCTCCGGTGATTTCATATCAAATTTTCGCGTTTATCGGAGGTAACATTATGTGATAGAACGTAATATGTGAAATATATTATTCTTATATCTTGTTATACAATTTTTTGAGTAATTAAAATTAACGGAAAATATAGGAATATTTTCAATTTATTTTGTATTGTAGGCAAGGCGATTAAGGATTCAAACAATATTGATATAAATTGCTATTGCTGCAATAGTTATTGCTTAAAAAGTTAATATTTAATTAATTTGATAAGCAATTACTATTAATTGCTTATAAAACAAACTAATTATATTGATGAAGAATCGAGAAAAGTTATATTCGATGTTTCTCTGCATGATTGTTATTTATAATCACGTGAAATTCTACTGTCACGATGGATGGAACATTGTGTTTTATCGCAATTTTTCAGCATTCCAACATCTTGATGAACTGATAAAACATAATAAAAGCGTATTTTTCTATCGGTTTTTAAAGGAGAAAACGAGAAGTCACTTTTCGAATAGATGTCGATAATAACTGTTAAGAATTTAAAGTCTTCTATCCTTTGCATGTCAACGTGGCCCAGGTATAAGTGGATACAAATATTACGTATTCAACCGTACCCGATTGCTTGTCAGATATACTCTGATATCGCAATCCGACTATTGTTACACGAAACAAATTGCAGGGCGCAAAACAAAATGCAGCACGCAGCAATTAATCGTCAGAATATTGTAACCGCGCCGCGAATCTATGGAATCGCCGTTTCAAGCTAGTCATGTTTCACGCTTAGTCACTGATATCGATTGCATCCATCCTATTTTCACCTAAAGGCCAAAAGCGACATATACTGAGCCACGTTTACGTACATTACAAAATACATTGTATATGCTCTTGATCTGCCAGTTTAGAATAATAAATAACGAGTACGTCATGAGATGCGTAATGAAGATATATATATAATTTAGTATATCTATATAGATAGAATTGTATTAAAGGATTATATAACCTCCTAGATTGTAGACGACTTTTATTAGCAGTAAAAAATGTAATCCTTATTATATATCAATTAACAGATCGCATTATTGTGACGCTAGAGTAAGTTCATCGATTCGCGCCGATTAACCGTTTTCTACTGCTGATAGATGAGTAAATATATACACAGGTGTATATATTTTTTCCGATTATATGTCGATTAGCCAGATAAAAATACTCCAAAATATAACCATGACGTATTGAGTGTGTTTTGCATTAGAACGGAACAAACTATGAAACTGTAAGTAAATATCTGAATATGAAACATTATATAAAAAGAAACCCGATTGGATCGATATGGATTTTATGTAAACGTCGTTGACAGAATAATAAAGTGATATGGTTGCTTCTTTTATATTGTACATCTTCATTTTCTCGAGTTAAAAAAAAAACGAAGTTGTTTCAGAGAGACTTACCTCATCTCTTTGAAGCATACGCGCGATTAATAATCGACCACAATTCCCACCTGGAATTATTCTCTTACCTTCCTCGAGATGAATCCTTCCTATTGAGAGTAGAGCGGGAGATCGACGAGGGAAGAACAAACATTGACATAGGTCTAAGTGAGATTGGACAGAATGTATTTATTTATCTTTAAAGTGTACGTAGAGTAAAGTAGATCAATGCAATCGTTATGAGTAGTATCGAATAGTAATTGTCATACGAGTTGCTAGGAACGAGTATGCATACCCACAACACCGAGGAGCTTCAGCCGCTCATTTTTTTTTCTTATTTTTTGTTTGCACGACACTGATATACATTAAACGTTACAAGATAGCAATAACGATTATCACCGCGCCAGACGTTCCATTATCATCATCATCATCATCATCGTCACCGTCATCATCATTTCGTTATCATTGACGTTATTCATAGTTACCTTACAGCCACAGCTTTATTACACGACTTACAATTCTTTGGCATCTCGCAGTGGACACCGGATTCAACAACAACGTACTACATACACGCAGACGCTCGCACCCGCAGATTTAAAAATATCACAAAAAACGCGACGCTTAATTACGTAACTAACGTAGTCCCGTTTTGAGATTTTGTAGAATTAATTGATTCGCGAGCGAATCGTTCGCCGAGTCAAGACCCGCGGACATTTTCGTTCTATTTTTATCTGAATATCGGGCGGTGTAAATTCGAGCTTTTATACACAAATCCGGCGGAAGTTACGTATTTGTAACTTGTGTAACGATCGCTCGTCCGACAATGGCAGGTCGTTGCGCGATCGTCCCAGCTTTCATCGAATGTTTCGCAGTTTTTTTTCGGGTTTGTAAATAAAATTTTCACGCGGAGTCCAAAACGTCTACCAGCGTGTCAATTTGACGCGATTCTGCTTCGCGAGCGCGTTATTTATTAAATATCCTCTTTAGCGAATATCCGGCGTGACGGCGCGATAGCGCATTCGACATCGTAGAGAATTCCCATTTATAGCCGGAATAAAACTTGCAGTTTATGCAATGCAGGTCGCGATAGTTAGACCGCACGATTAACGATCGGCGAGCACGAAATTCACATCTCGTGTGGAGGCTAACGATTTTTTTAGGGCCCTCGCAGTCAAATAACTTTATGTATTGTAATCCAATGTGATTTTTATGCAAACTTTTCATTTTTTTTTTTTTTTCAAGAATCATCGAATCGGCGCGGCGTTTTGGAAAGATAAATGTTTCATAATATGAATATAAAGATAAAATTTTTGTTGTCGCTTATACATTCGTGATTTATTGTAAGGAGAGTTAAACTTGTCTTTTGTATGACTTTTGTCTTCTATTCATGATTTTCCGCGATAATTTCTAAAATTTACAATTTTACAATTATCAAGCCATAAAAAAAAACATAGATAAAAGTTCCGCCGTTTGTCCGTTCAAGTCAATTACTGTTTCTGCTCTACAATCTCTTCGAGACTCGGCGAAGATTCGCATCGATTAGATAACAATAATTAATCGAGGCAACGTGCGAGCAATATTCTGCTGACAAGATTCTCGACATTTAACAAACAAATGAGAAGGCAGCGTTCGTCCCTCTCGTACCTCTGTCCTAACACGGTACGATCGTTACCTTTTCCAAGGCGAGAAATGAAATCGTCTCATAACTGCTTCCCCATATATAAAAAGTATCACTTCGTGCAAAGTCTATCAGTCTAATTTTTAGCACATTAAAAACGATCTCCTCCGATACCTGTTAAAAAAAAAAGAAAATAAAACAACAACGCATCTCCGTGGGCGACCTAAAGCACCTCGTCGCTTATTGTATTCGTCGATCATTTTGGCATGACACAAGAAGCGGTGGTCGATGGAAAGTCCTCTCGGATAGCGCGTCGGACTTTAAGAAAGCTAAAGGAAACGCATCATTTTTCCTCGCACAAGTTAAAACGTTAACAAGCCTCATTCGCACTTATTTCGCTTCGGAAAGGAAATAAAGGTAGGCCCGCCGAATCGCACTCCGAAATGTGCATCTGTGTCTCGCGCGATGGTATATAATATCGGGCACGCCGGTCCGTCGTCCATCCACGAGACGACGCCGCGAACTCGATTATCACAATCTGCGTGGCGTACATGAGCCTTACAAAAAATACAATACTTGTGCGCTCGCGACTTTGTATGTATATCACAGGCGACCGGCGTACCGTCGCGACGCGGCGCGGCTTCGTCGCGCTAATCGCGCACCGTCACTACTTGCGTTTTCCAGCCGCGATTTTCCACCCTCCCGTACACGCGGGCAAACTTGTACGTCGCGTGGAACGAGCGTGGAATTGGGACGGCGGAAGTCCGATTCGGCGGTCTGGCACCAAAACACCTCGCTATATATTACCGCTAGAATTCAAGTCGCAAAGTTCCAAAGTGCCAACTCGAGGGATTTTAGTCGATTCGTTGGTATAGCTCGGCAGCTACGGTGTCGTAGCTTCCGAGGAGAAGCGAAAGGGAGCAAGTCTCTCCCTGGAGAAATAAAGGTCAGCGTTCAGCAGACCAAGCCGCTGAGTAGCAGTCGAACGTGCGTGGCTCTTACTTTTAGAGCCAACCACGCAACGCATAGTGTTGATAAGACGAACTCAACAGTTGTATCTGCTGAACGCGGCCAATGACTCGCCAAAACGTGGGTTTTAGCGCGCCTCTAAACGCGTCTCGCATAGCAAATAGTCTCGTAAGCAAGATAAACGAATCGCTTATTATGTCAAAATATAAAATCGTACACAACCGCATAATTTCGTGAAAAATATACTTTTCTTGGCACATTTGAGACTCTTCGGCTTCAATCGAAGGAATATTAATTTATAATCGTGTCTCGCAATACGATTTTATATCCATATATAAGAATCAGCTGCCAAAACACTTGGGAAAGACATAGAACTCGTTGTACGTGATGATGTATGTAAATGTTGCTCGAAAGGGAAGCAAATGGAAATGGAAAGTACAGGAGATTCTATCCTGGTCGAATACATTATTCGCGCTTAAGTATTCGATGTGCTTTTTTTCATCTTCCATTCGTACGCACGTTTTCGCTCTCTCATTCCCTCCCACAATCTTTCAATATCGCATTCTCTCCTTCTCTTTTATTCCCCGTTTTTTCCCCTCCCCGGTATCTCGCTTTTCGTTATACCGTTCCACTTCTTATCTTTCTCCCTGCCATTCATCCTCATTTATCTTCGCTCGCTCGCTCGCTCTCTCTCTCTCTCTTTCTCTCTTGTTCTCTCGCTCAACAATAACAATTGAATATGAATTAGAAAAATAACATTATATCGTAGACAACAATTGATTACAATGTATATAATATATACCGGTAATAGAGTGGTGTGCTTGTTTCACACAATACTTTTATACTCCCCCGTTATTTAAAGCGTTACCAATGACGTGGGGCGCCGCGCTATATGGCTCATAAAACACTATAATTAATTCGTCGTCTCGTAATCGTTCGTTTAGCTTGGTCGATCGATCGTCGATCACGGATCGGCGCTCGCGATGGGGATCGGATTCAGGTGGGAGAGAGATTCGCACTTTTGTACCAACGGCCGTTTATATTATACGTAATTATATATCGAACGCACACTTCTCGAGAACGTGGCTGCGCGATCTACGCGTCGTGGATCACGCGATTGCTCGATCACGATCAACTTTAACGGATATGCATAAGATCGAAGTATCGACTTGATGCATATATGACTCGCTTTTAGCGCAACGCCCAAAAAAGCGTTGAAAGAAGATTTACGAGAAAGAATCTCGTATTTTCTTATATATTTGCGATTATCCTAATTATAAGCTAAATATATAAAACCGATCTTGCAATCTATAGATCTTGCGAAACAAGCTAGATCACTCCGCGAGTTATAATTAGTTATTTAAAAGAATTGATAATAAAACGCTGCAACAATTACTTCTAACTTTTTTTTCCAAAACACATTAACGACAATAAAATTAATTTATGTGTAGAATCTAGTGACGAGATTTCGAACGAAATGATTCGCGTTATTAATTCTTTCTCGTCGCTCCTTTATTTTGTCGTCGTTACGCGGACTTCTTCGTTTAAGTTGCGACACGATTGCAAAGCTCCGTTACAGCGGCAGAGCGCGCGCACCAAAGGTTCGCGAGATATTGTTTTCACACGTTGCTCCAAGTTCTCTTAATTAATTAGTTAGTTAGCCGAAGAGCCGGAGGGTCGCGGACGCGTTCTTCGCTTTTGCACGACAGCGCCCAGCGTCAATGGAGAATTCGTGGACAGATTTCGAGACGGCATACGATATTATTCTTGATTTCCTCTATACTCGCTTTTTCTCTCTTTCGCCCTACCTCTCCCATTCTTTCTTTCCTCTCATCTCGACCGCATAAACGCGTTTCATTCCGCCATCTGCCATTTACGAGTGTATTCATTTAATAAGCTAACACGTACTAACTACAGTAAATCCTAATTACGGCTTGTACGACAGACATTTATGTATATAATATATATATAATATTTGTGTGTGTGTTGCGCGCGCGTAATATTATATATATAGAATATTTGTGTATGTATATATATGTAATATATAATATTCATATATTACAGTTAGATTGCTCATTGTCAATTCATCGGTTTATCACATTTAGTACAAGTTGAAAAATATCTCTAACATCCACGCGCGGCGGCGCGGACTCGCCTTTCCCCGCGCGGGTCGCGCGCGTCCGCGATGCCGCATTGTATATATAATAAGTTGTCGTTAATTATGCTAGTTATTAAATTACAATTAATTATCTAACGGTAGGTACGACAAACAATTATGATAATACGGCCACGACTTATTAGTTCTCCTCGCGACGGCAAAGTGATTGCAAAATCGACTTTCGTTTAAGTTAAACGCGGAATCCTCCATTATATCGCCTTTATAATTATAAGCCTTTTCTTTATCGTCGATTTCTCGGTGAATATTTATCCGGATGAATCGCGCGCATGTTTATTTCAGCAAAGTCAGGTACTCGACGGACAGACGAAAATTCAGACGCTTCTAAGATCGTCATATCAGCCAAAAACGAAGGCGAAAAATAATGAAACAATGTATTTCTGCACGTGAAAATTTTTACAGAAATCTGTACATGTACATCTTTCCTCTTATTCAAATTGTTGTGATGTAATTTTGACACCCACGTAAAAAAATTAATATGTACTATGCATATATAATTTTTTGTAATAAGTATATCGTCTACGTTTCTGATCAGCTGGCTGACGTTAAATCAGCCGATGTATGTTTAAAGAGGAAGTAACACTCGCTTTTTTATCGCCTATTATTGCTGGAGCAACGATGCGCCGATAACGACGGATAAATTTAGTGTAGCGACGATTAAAAAATTTTGCTGAAAATCGCAAAGCGCGAGAATACATCAGATTGTACCGAAATATCTCTTGTCTTCCCGATCTCAACCTTTCTTTTTACACGTCGATAAAAAAAAGGCTCCGAGAGTTTCCTTAGGTTCGCTATTACATAGACCGAGGCTCTAAAACGCTTAACTCGCTTCGCGGTTTTATTTTTTTATGTATTTTTTTTTTCGTTTTAAATCTCTTTAGAATAGACACCGAAGACACCGAGAGAGACTCGAAGGAAGTTTCGAAAAAGGAGATAAAGTCCGTTCGACTAATTAGGTTCGAAAATGTCTGGCTACTAATAACGAGTCGAGCTACTACTTTCTACTTGTCGCACTGCGCACTACACACGCGTGTGTTAATGTAAACGCTGCCGCGTCTTCTTCTTTGTGTTTTCTTCTTCTTTTTTCTTTTTTTTTTTTGTCTTTTTATAACCTACGAGTAGTCGTTCCGTACGGACGGACCGACGGACACCGAGGATTGAGCAAACTGTTATTGCACGGAACGCGTGAAAATTGAAACACTCCCGAAAATTCCTCCTCCCCTTCCTTCTGCATTCTGCCAGCCAGCTGTGGGGGGATTCGCGAGAGAAGAGCCCGCATTGCCTAATTTCGCGCCTTTATTGAAATGATATCTGGAATTTTTCTGCTTGTAAAGATAAAAGAATGCCGAGTGTGTCTCGGAGAAATCAGATTTCCCGAAATGTTTCTCGACAGAACTTTAAGAGACCCCTAGAAACCCTAGATATATATATATTTTATTTTCTTTGAGCAAAGTGCACTTAGAATTGTCTGAGAAACAAGAAACTGTGTTACTTATTTATATATGTGAAATTAATTTGTTAAAACACTCGCATCTTTTTCTAAGTACATTGAGTGACTACGTAATGTAATCTACTGTGGGATTTTTCCCGAGAAAGAGCTTCAAAGGTGATTTTTAAGGAGAAAAAAAATTTGTTGGTAAAGAGAACTCGGCGGAAACCTCAATAACTGTTGAAAAAATAGCACGATAAATATGATGACTGGCAGAGACATCGCTTTTAAATTAAGGTATCAGATATTTCTCTTGTCTATCGACGTCTTTTTGTTCTTCAGACGAACGTAGATAGACGGTAGCGCGAGGATGTTCTCTCGTTGCAAAAACACGTAAATTATTCGTATCATTAAGACGGCCGGGATATTGACACCTCCCGATTAGTCGGGACGCTCTCTCCCAACGGATACGCGAAAGTACGCAATGGAGGATTTTCTGACGTGAATTGAGTCACTCGCTAGCCGGAGGTCTCTATCGATCAAACATTAACGGCGAGAGACCTTCTTACAGCTTCCTATCTAAATACACTTAGCATATACATATCCTCGGAACATAGATAAACCATTAAAAACATTGTATATGTTCCTATCTACCTATACACAATATATAGATATAATGTTTGTATATCGTAACCATATTAATATAATATTAATTACACATATATATGTACGATTAGAGTAAATAATTAATCCTTATGCATATATCACATCTGATCGTTCAGTCAGTATAGGAAGACCCTCGCCTCGCCGTCGACACATGCAAACCCGTTTAACATACGTTCCTTAATGTGTCTCTCTTCCCCCCTCCCCCCTCTAACGTTTCATCTCTCTCGTCTCTCTGAGGATTCTGAAATTTGTCGCCTCACTACACAACCTCTTCACCATTTTTTTTTCTTTCTTTGCCTACATCACGCTCTCTCTTTCTCGCTCTTCCAGCATTTTAAACTAGTGTCCGATAGTAGCTACTACCTAAACAGACATTTAAGTTTTGGTAAAAACCTGAAATCGCCATCGAATATCAATATAATACACTTATTATGTACTTATAATATAAATATAGGAACATTCATTAAATATATTTTCATATATATATAATATTATCGTCATATATATATATTTATAATATTTATATTTATATATATATATATATATCTTAGAATCTGTATATATACAAATACATATGTGCGTATATACATATTTGTATATATTTGTATATATATTACTTGGTGTTGTAGCTATAACTTTAAACGTGATTTAAAATGCCCAATATACTCCATAACGCCTGAACCGTGGTTAGTCCACCATTTTCCAGAAGGGGGGGGGAAGGGTCGACGATTAAACCAAACGTATCTCTGAACGAGCTAAAACGCGAACTAAAGAAAACGCACGAATCAACAGATACGGTAGACATCGATCCCTTTTCGAGGGATTCTCCGTGGATGCAGGCCCCTTTCTATAATAAGGACACGTAACGTCGCGTCGGGTCGAACGTCGCGACGCTCAGCGCGCGCTTTCTCGACATGTATATAGGCCATAAGAGAGACGGATTGCAATGGATCGCGGTGCCTGCGTGTAAATATATCCGTAAATATAAATATTATTCGTTAGTTAAATTATACAAAATATTGTTCGATATATCGGGCGCCCGATCGTCCGACCCCGCGACGATCGAAGAATCCGATGGTCCGGGGCCCGTTTTCTTATAAGAGCGTGGATTAAATTTTCAGAAATTCAATTTTTCTTGAGATTGATTTTTTGATAAATTTTCTTAAAAAGAAATTATGCCGCGAACAAAAATTATCGAAATCGATACAATTTCGATACAAATGTCGTTATAGAGCCGAAAGCAACCTCTCTGTGTTCGTAACATTCATGTCCAACGTGCAATTTGTCGTGTCCGTAGCATTGAATATTGAATTTATCGAGATTATATTCTTGAGATTTAATCCCCACACTAAATCCTTTTATCTTTACAAAGAACGAGATGCATTGATGACTATACAGTTGCAGAATGCTGTCATCGACTTATATGACTGTCGAATGTAAAGAACAAGTCGTAGGAAACAAAAGCTCGCCAGCACACACATTGTATGATGATAAAATCACGTTAATTTAATTTATCTGGCACATTTCAAAAATACATTAAAGACTGAATCGGAAGAAGGATTGCAAAAGCAATACGAATTATCTCGTAAAATATGCAAGATGTGATTAATCTTATAGAAATAGCAGCTATATGTATAAACTAAAAACTTTATATTACAATTTTCTAAATAAAAATTTTAAAATATTTCCACCACTATCGTTAAGATAAGCAATATATTAATAAATTATAATTTATATTATATTCTAAAGAAAATAAACGTATATGCATAGAATTGTGGTGCCTCAACATTTTCGTTAAAAATAAATCAATTTCCAATTAAAGTAAAAAAAAAGTATAATAAAAAGAATATTTGATCATTTTAGAATACGCCGTTTATATACAATTGCTGGTAATAAACGGTAATAAACGGGTTGAGGAAAGAGTTGGCGTTCCTAGGATTATTCCGGAACTTGAAACGCGAGGTGCTTGTACGCCCTGATATCGCGGTACTGATATCGCCGGCCTGAAAGTACGAGCCGTAGCGCGAGTCAAAAACTATCCGCGATCGTCTCGTACGTGCGCTGGGGCGCGGCACGGCGATAAATATATTATCCCGCCGCATTCGGTAGGTAGCTGCTACATTTTACCGGAGTTCGATTGAAAGACGACTGGCTATCACGCGAGCTAACGTGCGACGCGGACAGTCGCACACACGCCGCGCGATTAATTGATTCCCAGAATTCGATGTAAGTTCGAGAGCAAACGAGAGTCTACAAACTACGAGCTCGCGAGACTCGATATTCACATATAGATATATGTATATATATATATATATGTGTAAATATATATACATATATATATATATTGTACATGTATTCGGCCACGTCGATTTGTCCGATCTCCGGCATGTACTCTATCGATTCTAACTCCGATCGCTCAAAACCAGTTACGACGTTCTGTTACATGCGAATGACGTACGTTTGCCAACAGTTGTAATTAATAAGATAGCGGGTGCAGAGCAATGTAATTAACCAAAAACTGTTGATATCGCATTAATTTGTCAATGTTGTATCTTTGATATTATTTGAACTTTTGAATTAATTAAAATAAAAAATTATTATATGTATTTTATTGAAAAAAAAACTTGGATTTTTTTGCTAACACTTATTTTTTATGCATTATTAACAATATAATGGATTATCATAGTATTCTGAGAGGCAACAGAAATAGATTCTTTTAATATTTTGCACCTTGCACACACAATGATAACTTAATATATATTAAATAATCAAAATATCCCACGACAGACAACTGATGATAGGTATTATAAGAGTATGGAATACGGTACGTCAGATTGTTTTGGAGAGATTCGTAGCTGAAAATAAACGGCTCGATTGTGTGAAATAAAAAATTTTTAGCGACGAAAACGTTGCGGTATCGATTTCGAGACTGGATTAATATTAGTCGAATATTGCAGAAAGTATTCTTAGGTTCGCGTCGACAATCATATACACATAGTAGACTTAATCGATTTTATCACATATGATTTTATGGCTAAGTCTCGAATTCCAACTAATTGGGAAATGACTAGTAGCTTCAGCTATATATACATACTAAACTCCTGGTACACATTACTAAAATATCACATTATTTAATTGTTTACTTTAAGGTACTCTCGTACTTAGCGATCACGTCCTTAAAAGAATGTGTACGTTCCTCGTTCCCGATTCCGAGACGTTTATCAAGAACGACAGGGTGGAAGAATCGCGACAGTTTTGTATCGACTATCCGAGAGAGAGTGTCTCTCGCGCGCCTCTCCGTCAGTTAATTCAACAAAGCGGCGGTGGCTGACTCGAAGTCAGTAGTCGTATTACTGTCTACAAAATACAATTAATACGGTAACTAAGAGTAACAACGCATTCCGTTGTAACGTTCCGCTGTAAACGAGATTAGATTGTCCGCGTAGTCACTATTTAGCGTTATTACGCTCGAACTGAAACGCAAGCACTACATCCGGCGGTGCTTCCGGTGGTTTAATTCGCGGGGCGTACTTTCATTCGTTCCCATCTTCCAGAGGCGAAAGGACAACCGAATTCGGAAAGCGGCAAACGGCCCCGAAATTACTTTTGCCCGTTGCATTCGCGTTGCAGGTCGCGTTTCCGCGCGCCTCGCCATCGCTACTACCTTGGTATAGAATAATCGTTTGGCACTGTGTCCTATTGAATCGCGATTCAAGTCACGACTATAAGCAGCACACCGGCGAGAGAGAGAAAGCGCGCGAACCTTTGCGACGGGATCACAAACTCCATACAAACGTACGCTGAAATCGCAGAAGCGTTGAAAATTCCCGAGATTGCTAACATCTATGAATCAGAAATTGCTCAAAGTTTGCGAAAAATCTGAGAACTCGGAGATTTGAGAATCAAACATCGCGCGCACATCGAACTTGATTCTAGACTGCTACAAATAAGTAAAATAATGAACGCACAATGTACCCGTTATATTAAAAAACGCACATTAAATTAAAAAATAATATAGCATAATTCCAAACTCTCTAGTACTTTCATTAACTTTTATAGGAAAAATTTGGATATTATCAAAATTATTATAAAGATTATTATAAAAATATTTGTTATAAAAAATTCGTTACATTTTTTACATTCGGATGAGCTGCAACACCTTTTAAAACATATCTATCACACACAAGTGCATTTATTAAAACGATTATTATCAACCTTTGAAAATCATGATTAAATTATAATTAGTATTCTAGGATTAATATAATATTAATTAAATTATATATTAATATAATCAGATTAATATTATATTAATGTAATACTTCGATGTTGTTTCAATAGTAAAAAGGTCCCAAAATACCTGGGTTCGATCTTATTTCCAAGCTCAAAAATCTCGCCTCTGATTTACGAAGCAATTTGCAGCTTTCCTCGGTTATCACGGTGACAGTGGAAGTGGAAATAGAACGGCAGTGGGCGGACGTTGAGCAGTTAGACTAACGATCGGGGCGTCAGGCGTCATGGAACTGTTTTCTTTAATCTTCTAGCCCGCGCTCCTCGAGACTGAACGCGCACGAGGACCACGTATATGTCCAGCTTATTAGGGTGGACGAGTGTATGTATACATATACATATATATATATGGCGAAACGGCGAGAAGTGGGAAATTAAAAGGGTGCAGACGCGAGCGAAACGCTTCCCGCGTCTCGCCGCGAATTCTCGTTGACATTCGTTGGACATGTTCCTCTTAATAAAATCTCGACGCGATGGCCGCACCACCCGACCACGGACGACATCAATATCGACGTATCATCTAATCGTTAAATTACATCTTTATCGAGACGGTATAATAATACGGTATAGTAATTACGGACTAAATTGGCCTATCGCAGCACCGGGCCGGTCTTGGAGGGAAATTGAATTTTCGCCCGACGGAATAGATTCTCCTTTCTCTTGCTCACTTTCTCTGACTCTCTATTTTTTTCTCTCTTTCTTTCTCTCTCTCTCTTCTCCGTTTCTAAAGACTTTCCTTTTTGGCACAGGTAGACATTAGCTGGCAATCTATAGAGCTTCTTTTTATTCTCTCTCTCTCTCTCCTCCTCCTCGCATTTCGTCTCCTCACGTTTTTCGTCTCTCGGGTAGAGGTACCGGCCGGCCGGCATCTGGCGATCAACCCTATTCGTTAGATAGCACCTTCGTTATTCAACTTCGTTTCGCGTACTTTCGAGAGCGCGCGAAAGTACACAGAGCAGCAAGTACACTATACATCACTTAAGGGCTAGGTAAGTGTTTTCTGACCAAGTGGAGGGATCCGGTCTCGTAAATGATCCTTCGGGTTCGCCCCTAAGAAACGCCTCTCCTACGTCCCTTCCTCTATCTCTTTCGCTTCGACGAGAACGCACGATCGGACTTGGTTTATGAAGTGGTCGGAAATTAAAGCTACTTACGAGACCGATTCCAAGAGAATGAGCCGGCCACTCTCGTTTCGCGGTCCAACGCATATAGCTAGGACAGCATCTCGTTATTGTATATACGCATATACGCACGTATATGTATAAATACCTAAGAGAGCGACTAAATGGAGAGGACTTCTGGAAGGACCGAATATAGACCGTGCAACAAGACGCTACTTCGCGGCTCCCGACGACGAACCTAAATCGCGCTGGTGTCTCTGACATAGACGTAGACGGGAGAAATAAAAGATATTATATTATTGCTATCCGCATCATATCAAGGAAAGGATTATTCGTTCGTTCATTCGGGAATTCAAAGGCACCGGCAACGCTTTCCGGGAGGTTCGCCCTCCCCGATCGGTGCCAACGTCGAACACGTCGTTTTACACGGATGATAATCGCAAAAGCAACTGCTCGGCGAATGACTTAATCCTCTATGGACTGATGTAAAATCTCAAAGCAAGATGCGTTTCTCGTTGCGCGTTTCTATTCAAGTTCATATCTCGAAGATTCTCTATTTAAGAACAACCATACAGAATGTATATATATAAAATACAGATATATATTTATTTTCTAACCAAAGCTTCGAGAAAAGAGAATTGGTGTTCTTTATCGGGAAAAACATAATTTCGTCTATAGAGGATTAATAAATATCAAAACGTATGCTGCACGCGCTACGCGCGATTTTTACATTTTGTATTGCACGTTGATACTCGTAATCTTGATCCCTTTCGCCGCGATAAGCTTGTATGTGCGTTTCATTTTTTTCTTTCATGTTAACTCGCGAGCAAAAGTAGATTAATAGAATGGCCAGAAACTCTGGCTTTTAAAAAGTTTATCGCGAAAAGTCGTTTGCGTGCCTTACCTCGTATTTAATAGTATAATCAAAGATGCCCGATGCAGTGCGGGCTTTTAATAACTTGTCTTAGTTTCCATATAAACGTGAACGTGCCATGCACATGCCAATTGTCAAGAGGGTATTTTTCGTGGCGAAAGAGTTCTTTCAGTTGAGGAGTGCGCCAAATCTCTTTTCTAAAAACTTGTAAAAATTAATCTTGAAGCATGAAGAAAGTATTTAATTCAAGAAATTTGCGTAATTTCTAATTTTTATCGAGTTTAATTTAACTTAATTTTCTCAAGTTCAAGGTTTATTTGCCCGTGTTCTTCGAAAAGTGAACCTATCATTGGTTGAAGCTCCCAATTCTGCGGAACGCATATCGATTTCCATCCGCATAAAAAAAAAAAGATCCACCGACGTGTTCGCGTCTGCACGGAGCTCGCGTAGAGGGAAATTATCGTAATCGCACGCGGCATCGTCATCGCGAATTATATTACATGTCGAGTACACATCGAGTATATCGAGATTAGCTATTACATTACAAATATATCACTTTGTCGATGGAGCACGAAGACGAAGAAGACAACAAAAGGAAGCCTTTGACCGTCGGCTTTCGCCCGCCGCGTCGTTGCGTTCTTTGGTTTTTGTTCTTTCTCATTTTCTCCTTTTTGGTTTCATATCTCTCTTATCACAAATTAGTCTCACTATCGTAGCGCAGAAACCATCGTCAGACTGGTGGACCGTAGTAGATAGAGATCGCGCGCGATCGCATTTTACCATAATCTGCCTTGTCTCTCCGTAATTGACGCGTCTTGTTGGGCCGGCGGCGATGGATAGATGCGGTCCGTTCTTTTTTTTTCTTTCACTCTGTTCCTTTCTTCCTCTCTAGGAGTCCTTCAGCGGTTTCATTTGACACTCGTACTCTTCGCGAGCAGAATGGTTTTTCGTTCAGCAACGATCAGCCGAGAGCGAAGCGCCGTTGCGGACTCGAGGTATGATCTCGCATATACGGTGAACGATCGAATATTCCGAGATTTGGATTTTAACGTGTGCTATCTGTGTGCTATCGAAATGGGTCGAAATCAGTTAAGCAGTGCCGAGGATTATTGCCGTTACCGCTTTGCGGCATTTTCACGAGTCGGAAGCGAGCCGATTTCTGTCTTTCGTAGTCAGAAAGAAATTATTAGCGCGCAAATAGATGTACTCGTAATACTTGGCGCTATTGCTTCACATCTTGCTTTTCAGCGCGCCGTTCAATTTCGCCTATTCTCCTTATTATTGACATATTATATAATATCCAATATTGTATAATATTTAATTGAATAAGATCAATCCTCGAGTCGCCCCGCAACGGCCGCGGCGTCAACGCGCCGGAGAGAAGGCGGCACGTCGTCGCGTTGCTGCTCTTCGGCTCCGAGGAGGCCGAGGCGGGTGAGCCGAGTTACGATCGCGTTAGCGCTGGTGGATGTGCGTGGTGAGATGCTTGGAGAGGTAGTCAGCCCGGGCGAAGCATTTGCCGCACATCTCGCAATGGTACGGCCGCTCGCCGGTGTGGATGCGCAGGTGCCTCGTCAGGTCGCTCTTGCCGCCGAAGGCGCGGCCGCAGAACAGGCAGACAAACGGCCGTTCGCCGGTGTGCTTGCGTACGTGCAGCTTCAGATTCTCCTTGGACCTCACGCACTTGCCGCAGAACGGGCAGGCGAAGCGTCGCTCGCGACGATCGGCCTCGCGAGTAACGCTCCGCGCGAGGCCGATCATCGCCTCGCTCGGCTCGTGCCGATCGTCGTCGACCGCGTTGTCGTCCACGTCGCCGGCCTCGCTGCTGGTACCACCGCCACCGCCACCGCCGCCGCCGCCGCCGCCGCCGCCAACCCCGCCGGTTCCGGCGGCAGTGGTTTCCGTTAACTGCACCTCCACCGCATCGCCGGGATTCTCCTGAACGCTCGCGGTCTCCGAGACGCTCTCGTCACCGCGAGCGTTCTCGGAGAATACGCCGCGCAACTCCTCGGCGTCGCCCGGATTCGTCGTGGTATCGCTGCCGGTCTCCACTTGGGACGGCTCGCCGGTGCTCGAGACCTGATCGCTGCGCTCGGCCGGCGCCGAGACGACGACGACGCTGCTCTGCGGCTCGGGCGCGCGCTGCAGCCGCTCAAGCGCGTGGTTGAGACGGTGCTTCTTAAAGGACTTTAGATACCTGAACTGCATGCCGCATACGTCGCAGGTGAAGAGCTTGTCGGCCGGTAGCCGGGCGCGATGATTCTGCTCGCGGTGCTTCACGTAGGCGGACCGGTAGCGGTAACGCTGGCCGCACTGCTCGCAGGTGAACGGCTTGTCGTCGCTGGTCTGGCCGGCGTGCTGCAGCAACGCGTGCCGCTCCAGCAGCCACGGCGACGGGAACGTCGCCAGGCAGACGCCGCAGCGACGCGCCAGTCCGGCCAGGCCGGTGAAGCCGCCGTGGCCGAGGATGCCGCCACCGCCGGCGCCTCCGTGCGCGCTCGTCCGCTCCACCAGCGCGCCCCATCCGCCCGCGTCCAGGCCGAGGGCGAGCGAGACCTGCGGCAGAGGAAAAATAATTACGTCGTACGTTGCGCAATGCACGACGACGGGGCGCGACTTGAGTTTCGAGCTTCGACTAATCCGAGTGCACCTCGATTAATTGCAATCGCAATTTGCATAATCCGAATAATTTGAGCGATTCATCGATACCGCTCAAGAGATCGGGAGATTTAACTCTAAATAATCCATTATATAAAATTTGAATACTTGGAGCAATTCCAGTAATTCGAGCAGCCCCCGTCGGACGATACTAATGACTCGTACAATTTGAATAATTTTACGGAAAAAAGTTTTCCAACCCGTTTCAAATTTTCTCATTTGTCTCACAAACGCGGCTCGAATGACGTCTCGGCTCGAGAATTGTTTCACGCTCGAATGGAAGATTATGAACTATGCACTTACCCTTTGTATCGCGCGGACGCGGCTTATGATAGCGATAAACAATCCCTACGGCATAATATCGCGCTGGGTTTCACGCGAGATTGGGTGCACGGGGATTGCGGGGATTGCGGTGCGCGACAGAGACAGGCAAGAACACACACATCGTACGCACGTGACGTATTGTTAACACAAACAGTTTGCAGCTTTTATTTCACAAATTGTTAATTTACAACTATGATATGCATTCGTTCGTCTAAGAACCGAAACAAATCAGTTTTTTTTTTAATTTACTTCTTTTTTTTTTACGCCAAGCCAAATCAGTTGATGGCTATCCGCTACGATCGGAACGTTCAGAACACGTTGTCGATGTTGATGGAGCTTTACGGACGAGAGTGGGCTTTTATTTTCCGGAGTGGGTTTTCCTTCGCGAGTTTCTAAGAGGTGTGATTTTGCCGATTTTTACGAAACTTGTCCGATTCTCTTGCCGACACACAACTGAAATGTATACGTGTACACAAGCGTTCGCGCGTATTTGCACATGTGCGCCGTTAAATCGAGACTCGAGTCAGCTCGCAAAACTCAGGACGCATTCGCACATGGCTGTGATTTCATGGCTTTGATTAAAAAATTCCGTGACATTCAATTTCGGATAATTTGAAATCAAAACCTGTCAACAATCCATCTGCCAAAACTTGCAGCACAGAACGAAACGTATCGGATGGACGGAAATGCTCTCGAATTATTCGCTCAGTCGCCTCCTTGGTCGCGTCCATCTTACACGTCTCCAGTGTCCCGGTAAACGCTTGTGCGAGTTGAGAACACGGCGACACTCAATTACAATGAGAGCTCGGGGGGCGCAACGCGATTTTTGACAATACATTTCCATGTCTTTTCTTTTCCCCTCACGAGTCGTTCGCGATAGAGACAAGTGCGCATGATAGTGTTATTAAATTCTGTTTGTACCGTACAATTTTTACAACCCACGAATGCATCCTTCTGATTCAAAATAAATCTTTTAAACTTAACTTTCCATAATCTCAGAAAGATAAAAATTTCTCATGACAATTAATTTTTCATTCTCACACATAGTGAGGAGATAATCAACATTATCTATTGCTAAAAATATATAAGAAAAAAATCGTAATTAAAGTAAATCTTACAAATTATGTATTCAGTATAAATTACTCCAATTTTGTTCCGATTCTTTTGTTGCGTTTACACTCAATAATTTAATGAATGATATGGCAACGAGAACAAGAATATTCTGTTACAAATTGTGAGACGTAGTCACTCGGTCGTCGGTCGTTCGTTGCCTAATCACGTACGAAGTTGACATCACGTTGCTCCGCTATCGCCGAACGGCCCGTAGAAATAAACTAGAATATCCAAAAATGCGAGACGCATTGGTCGGTTGGTCGGTAATTTTTTTATTTCACCGCAGAACGAAGATCGCGCTTCGATAACTCACATACGTGTCCTATCGCAGCCCATAATATCTAAGATCAGCAAGGTCGCACTCGGGAGTTCCGAGTATCACGCGATATCGTACACGTACAAGGTGTTCGAAAAGCAGAGAAGAGCAAACAGTACAACCGGATTAAAAATATATTGACGTACTCGACAGTTGTAAAAAATCGTGCGAGTGTCTTCAGTGAGGGCATTTTATCGATAAACAAATAAAATATATCAACTGCGTGTAGAGATACGAATTTAATATGTTACTGTGTTTACTAATGCGATGACGTTGACGACAAAAAATATTTAGTTCGCAATGCTGAAATATTTTTTGCATCAACCATTCTCTTTCTTCGTGCATATTTCTTAGTATGTAATATAAAAAAATTTCAACAAACACACGATCGTGTAGTGTACACGATGAAAAATTAATTTATTCAGTCTGAGATAAAGTTGCAAATAAATATATTATATATTTTATGTATTGATATGCGATTGCGTTTTTATTTTCGGTGCGCTGTTTTTTTCTCTTTTCTTCCCGAATTTTAAGTTGATGGTTTGATAAGTTGATAATTTTGTGAAGCTCGATTCTCATTATCGTAAGAACTCGAGATCTCCAGAGTGCGACCAAGAAAATCTCGAAACAAGTGATTGAGGTATTAAATGTTTGATTGCGCCGCCTTTGTGACAGAAAATTGAAGATACTTTCGGACTTTTTAATTAAATACGCCTTTTTCCCGCAAATGCGATTAAAAAACATCCAATGATACTGTCGCGCATAAGCATCGAGGGCTTTTAACGTTCTAAAAACTTTATTTTATTTCTGAGCTATATGACAAGCGCGAGTTATATTGCTCTTAATTTTCCGCGACAACTCGGTGCATCGGAATATCGAGTGCACATTGTCGAATGCATCGCGGAGAGATCGTAACGGCACCATTGGCGTTTGCGTTCCGTTTACAGCTCTCCCGTATCCGTTCTCGCAAAGTCCGATAATCGAATTACTAACGCCGCGAGATAGTTTCAAGAGTCTTCGTCGCAAACAAACATTTTCTCGTCGGCGCTCAAATTCTGTCTCTCGCTCGCTCGAAGAACAACGTTCGCTTTTTTTTGCTGACAAACTATGTGTACACTACACATTTCCCTCTGTCTTTCAACTTCCTCTCTCTCTCTCTCTCTCTTTTACACACTCATACACACACATTCTTTCTCTCTTTTATCTTTTTCTTTTTGTCTCTCTTTCTCTCCCTCTAATATTCGATAATCAAGCGAATGGGCGTGGGTGCTTGGTGTCGAGATGTGCTAAAGTGGAATGGCATATGGGCATTCGATTTCTTAAAAGGTCCGGTTACATGTTGTTACGCTTTAACAGCACGTTATTAAATCCTGGAAAAGCAAAAATCTAAGACTCTGGTTGGCACAAAACGAAACGAGTAGTGGTTGCCGCGGGTACCGGCCGCGTCGCGTCGCGTCGCATCGCGTCGTAACGGACGGACGGACGGGCGGACGGATGCCGCAACGAGTCGTTACAAGTATGAAAAATATTCCGGTAACCATTAACACCGTTTAAAAAAGTTATTGCATCTGGGTAACCTATGTTGTATAGGTACACGTTTCTCTTTTATCGTATATTGTACAAATATTGTTGTAAGTCGGTAGTACAAACGTTACTGTAGAAAACATAACAATTCGTAGGTTTCGTATGTCTTTCGTATCGTTATGGAAAGCTTAAGTGTTATACAATCTGTTAGTACTATATGCGAGATTTTCGATCTACAGGGTGACTCCGAAAATATTGAACACTGCGTTGTCTCTGCGTGTGTATGTGTGTATGTATACGTGTAAGATGTGTGTTACGTGTTCATATGCGATCTCTCTTTCCCTCTTTTCTATTCTCTGCATCTGTTGATTACCGGGGGAATAAAAAATCGGGGAATTCCATAATGGAAAATTCGATCCCGTTGTAACCGAGCCTCGCGGACAGACGCGGCATTACTTTTCGTCGGCACTTCGGGAAAACGCTACGACGTAGCATTGAAAGATAAAAAAAGAGTATTTGTTTCATATAATGTAGAAAAATTTACAAACTTGCGGATAATTTATATTTCATGCGGTCCCCTTCGTACCGTGTTTCCTTTCGCGACGCGTGTTTCTTTCGTAAACTGTTAACGCGCGCGAAATGCACGTTCGCAGAAGAAAGTGACGCGCAAATGCATTCGTGGATCTCGGACTATGTGCTTACTAAGTATCGCGAATTATACAATGTTGCCCCGTGGAAACAATGACGGAAACGGATGCGTCTTGGGCGCGAAATATGCAGCGGGTGCACAATACGACCGACGTCCGACAATGCTGATAATTCTCGGTACCCTTAGCCTTCGTTATTATATCTTTCGACGCCTGGCATTTAGTCGACGACGGTATGTCTCGAAAACTCCGCGCGAAAATGTCGCGCTTCCAAAATATCTCAAAAAGTCAAGGCGTCTCAGATATTTTCGCGAATTACATTTTAAATATACATATTTTTCCTCGAGTATATGACGCTAAATTTACCTCGAAAGTGTTACGCTTCGCGCGTAAAATATATATATATATATCACATTTATATGTTGCGCGAGAGTTGAGCGTTTCGCGTATCTCTCGCATTGATATCCTACTCTCGCAATCCTTTCTGCTACACGATCGTGGCCTTCGACTGCATTTCGGGCGAGAGATAACAAATTGTTTTGCGAAACGTTTTCGCACACGGGCGCGCGGGATGAAAGATACCACGCGTACAGGTGAGATATACGGATACCCCCGCGCATCCGCACATATCCGCGCGCAAAGTACGCACGTATACGCGGTGCGGTAAATCGGTATTCATCAAACGCGGTTATCGAGCGTCGGCGAGAGCGTCGGCGAGCTGCACGCCCCGTAAGATATGACGTGTCGGGCGTACAACTTTTTTCTACACTTTTTTTTTACATGTACACGGTGTACTTTGAAAAGCTCGGCCAGAGGGAGAAAGAGCGGCTTGACAAGGCTGAGCGTCGTGATCGGGAGCAGGGGAGGGGGAAGGGGGAGAGGGAGAGGGAATGCGAACGGGAGGAAAAACGCGGGGGTAGCGACAGAGACGAGAGAAAGAGAGAGAGAGAAAGAAAGAGAGAGGCCGTGATCCT